GTGGTAGTGCTGCTGGATCTTGGTGGTGACTATCCACGCTTTACATAATTCTTGCTTCTTTTCTATCTTTTCTATCACCTGCCTTCCTTTCTCCATCACCCTAGTTCAAAATAGTCGCCATTCTCCCTTTCCCCATCTCCCTGATTAAGATTTGTAATAAGCTTGTCAGATCGACTTTTGAACCATTGCTTCTTAATCTCATGCCAGGTGTGCACATATCAAAGAACCTCCTCTCTTTCCGATAAACTGGAGGAAACATTGATTTAAGACTAATTAGACGGCAACATTTGTAAATTCCAGAAGCTTAGCTGTGAATGTTGAGCAACTAGTTCATATCAAGCTTCAGTTTTTCTTGGACCTGCAAACAGATACATAAGCTAGAATTTGTTGAATAGTACTCCCAGTTTTTCTTTATATTTCTATTGTAAAGCAAATCAAACCCAGAAACTGTTAATTGCAGGCTAATACGTAAAATAAAGGAGAAGAAATGTTGTTTCCATAAGGTGCTTCATTTGACCTGCTTTAAAAAACCTCATCCAGAATGAGAAGAGTTGGCCTCTCAATTTTCCTGGTCCTTTCCCTTGACTAGAAAAATAGACTAGAATAACTCATCCAGCCTTACACATCTTGCCTTTAGATGGTCAGTTAATAATTCAAACCTTAACTTGAGAACTTACACCTGAAAAATTAGATATTATGCAATTAATGTATTTGGAACTAACTAACTCTTTTAAATAGATTATGATATAAAGAAGCAATTAATTTTGTCTCTCTCTTGCTTGACAGATTTAATATAAAAGTGCATTAGAAGATGCTTGTGGAAATATGTGTAGGTCATGATGAAAGTAATGCCTCCTATTTATTTCCATGGAAAATACAACAGAAAAAAATAGCACATAACACTATTCAGTAGATCAAAATCTCAGCTACAAAACCGTTTTTTTTCAACGTAGTCACCATTATTAGCCATACAGTTTCACCAGCAATGAGCAAGAAACTGCATGCCACACATATGAAAATCTGCATGTCTGTCCTGAATGTGATTCGTCTTTCATGTTGCTGATGCCACTGCTAAAACACACTATCCACTGTCTCATTGTGCTGACATCCACTGTTTGGTGTCTGTAAACATTCAGCAAGCATTAATGAATGTCAACTGGTGCAATTCTTTCACTATGGAGGAACTCCTTTTCTTCATACACCGTTCCATGTCAGGTGCCAAATTTGTCAGACTGCCCTGTGCTGCCAACTGTCACACCAAAACAAAATGTAACAGAATATTGGCAGGAAGGTTTAATCTCTACTGCCATACAATCAACATCTACCTCTGATATCATGGGCCAACATAATAAAACTGGAAGCATAACTTTTGAAGCAGTTCTTGTATAAGAATTTAATGTGCTAATCTTTTTAATCAATTTTATCTTTGTCTAGTGGAGCATAAACTGTGAGATACTGGGGCGATGTAAGATAGATACTATTTGTCTTGAAAATAATACAGATTGTAGAAACATCCAACAAATATGTTTATATAAATTCAAGTACAGCTACAGCTGTTACATACCTATAGCTTTCTCTGTCTCAACTAAGTATATGTGCTTTATATTCCTGATATTTAAATTCTGTCCTCATCATGATGGACCTACATATTACACTTGACATCTAAAGCAAATGCTGAATTCCCTCCTTAGTGAATGTATATTATTAGAACCATCTCAAATATTTTGCTTCTTTTTACAGTGACTACATATATACATATTTTTTTATCTTCAATAGTATCTTTTCTTTAATAAGACCAAGCAGATTTCATAGTATTCCTTGCAGGCAAATCTTTAGTTTTTGAGAAGTGTTCAACCTGCTCTTTGATCAGTTCATATAAATTATAAATTCACATACATGAACAACCAGTTGAAGTAAAATCTAAGCAGATGTTGAACTGAATTACGCATCTGTTGACTTCAGAAGAAATTATATGTATTTCAAATTGGATTTACCCTTTATTTTTCTCAGGAGACTGAATTTCATAACTGAAGCAGGAACAATATAACTATTAAAACAAATGCTTTTAAAATTCCATTGCAAATACATATTTCGATTATGTATATATATATAGTATGACATTTAAAAAATATTTAACTTCTAGATGAACTGTATTTCATGTTAAACTACTTGGATTTACTTATAGAAATCAATATTAAATTTCTTCAACGGTATTCTAACATTTAGTATAAAAATATAAAAGCAGTTCATAGCACTAAGCAAATACACTGTGGACAATATAGAAATTAAAACTGATTTATAATTGCCTATCTAAACATTTTTTTTATAAATAAATATCTTGATCTTTTTCATTACAAAAAGTGTACAAAAACCACAATAATTTCTAAACAACAGAGATGGAATGTAAAGGGAAATAATTGAGCAGACAGCTTAGAGGAGGAAAAAAAAAAAAAGTAGATGTATTCAAATCAGAAAAGAATTTGGTCTTCCTGCAAAAATAAGCAAATATAATAGTTATTCAAATGCACTCAAAAAAACAGAGAGATGATAATACGTTTTAAAGATATAATAATGAAATATCTTGCACTTAAATGCCTCTTTTCAGAGAAAGGAGATGTACAGAATTTTGTATTACAATAGAAGAAAGACACTGAATGAAATTGAAAGGCAACAGATTTGAAGTTGATGAAACAGAAAACAGTTTTAAACAATGCATAATTAACTTACAGTTTTCATTGCCACAAGATATCCCTGAGATAAGAGCTTAGTTGATTTCATGAAAGGATAAGGGACTTATATAGATAATGTAATCTCCTACAGCTACATTAGAGAGTAAATAAATAAATAAATAAATAAATAAAATAGCGTGTAATCTAATCACTAGCTAAAATAGCTGCAAAACCACATTATGCAACTTATTTCAAAATTGTTCATCAAGTTACTTTTCTATAATCAGAAATATTAACTGTTTAAAAGACGGATGGTCCCAGTCTTGTTTTCATTCTCCTCTTTGCTGGGAGGAAAATTTGTTTCTTCTCAGTCTTTAAATCAGTTATATCTATTTTTACATAGATAGATGCTGAGTTCCGTAACTGAAGCAGGAGCAATGTAGGTATTAAAACAATTGCTTTAAAAGTTCCATTGCAAGTACTTATTATAATGATATTAATTTTTATGGGTTTTTTTTTTCATTTTTACCATTTTCTTTAAAATTTTTGTAAGTGCTTTCACTGAACAATATATGGATATATAGTACATTTGAATTAAATATGGACAGCAAAATAATACAAAAGTGCTAGGAGCATTTTTAAATGACCTAATTGTGTTTCTAGTTGCTGATGTTAGACTGATCTGTTACTTGATCTATATTTCTTAAATCTAACAATAAAATATTTATTTTATGCTGAAATTTACAGTATAAATGCACCATAAGTGGTATTTAGAAGTATTCCAGCCAGTATTATACCATAGTTGACCTTAAAATTTGATTACATCCTTTCAGTTGGGGACAATGAGATGAACTTTTTAACAATCAGAACACAGAGCTTCACAACTGGAGAAACAACATAACTTTATTCTAAAACATAGATGTCTAGAAGCACAGAAAAAGTAGTGGAAACAGATAAAAAGAAAGTATAAAAGACCAAAGTTGCAAACTTTATCAAGCCTCATGCCTTTTAAGAAAGTGATCTTCTACTACTATCAAAGACCAAAGTTCACATTCTGAGAATAACCTCATATTTTATATGATATATAATATATTTGGATATTTTTGATATAAAAGCAAACAAAAAATGCACATTCATTGAGTTATGGGGAAAAAAAAATCGGAAAACAGCTATAGAGAGAATATGATAAATAGGAATTGTGAGTTTTCATGTTTCAGGCAAAAACAAATAGTATTACTCATTATTGACTAAAAAGCCAAAATCTTATTTCTTTCACTTAGGTTTGAAAAGACTTGAATGTAACACTAAAAATGAAAATAATTGATAATACTAGAGAAAATAACTCACAAGCATTTAAAGCCAAAAAGATAATTTTATTGACCTTTAAAATCTTTTTATTTTAAGTAGAATCTATTATTCTGATACATTTATATCCATTGTATATTAGTGAGGTAAATCATGAAACAATCTCTTATTTGTCAGTTGCTGTTCTTTTCTCATTAGTAGTATAACAGCAATAATTTTGCCCTTTTCCTTGTTAATAATACTATCCTGTTTTACAGTTACAGGATAAATTGGCAAATGGTTGAAACCAACCATAATAGGGTATCCTGCTGAAATTTTTTCCCATAATGTTGTGTACTTCATCAGTGACATCAAATGCTTCATGAGAATATCTCAAGAAAATAACTTGTTGAAACAGAATATTCTTCTGAACACTGTCATTTTACTTCTGATAATTATGAATTTCCAGTAAGATATATAAAAGAACCTCAAAAGTTGATACTGAGAAATAAAATCAATAGTTCTGCTACATATTAAAAAATCACAGACTTGACAGAAGTGGTCTTTTCATGGATTGCAATAATTTTACTTGTTTTCTCTTTCTACTAGGTGCCAACTAAACCCTTTCATTGAAGTACTCTGAGTAACACAGTCATTTTATAAGTAGAACAATTTTCCTGCTTCTTACGTATGCTTGAAAGCTTGTCCTTTTACAGCTCTATTATGTAGTATATAAACTTTTCCCTATGAATCTTGTCCCTTAATTCTCTTTAGATTAGAAGCTGATCGATCTAGAATCTCTCTATAATTACAGATGCGGACTGTAGCAGACTGAACCATACTTTTATAGTGATTTTCATTGAACAAATTTCAAAGAGTTACTCTTCAATATTGTACAAAAAATTTATGATGAAGAAGTGAGATTTCAGAGAATCACAGAATCACAGAATTGTAGGGGTTGGAAGGGACCTCCAGAGATCATCGAGTCCAACCCCCCTGCCAAAGCAGGTTCCCTACACCAGGTCACACAGGTAGGCATCCAGGCAGGTCTTGAACATCTCCAGAGAAGGAGACTCCACCACCTCCCTGGGCAGCCTGTTCCAGTGTTCCATCACCTCACTGTAAAGAAGTTCTTGCGCATATTTGTGCAGAACTTCCTATGCTGCAGTTTCTAGCCATTTCCCCTTGTTGTCTCCACTCACCACTGAAAAGAATCCAGCCTCGCCATTCTTCCTCTGTACTGGTGCATGGAATTATTCCTCCCCAGATGCAAGACTCTACACTTGCTTTTGTTAAACCTCATCCAGTTTTTTTCTGCCCAGCTCTCCAGCCTATCCAGGTCTTGCTGAATGGCAGCACAGCCTTCAGGCGTGTCAGCCAATCCTCCCAACTTCGTATCACCAGCAAACTTGCTGAGGGTGGCCATTATCCCCTCATCAAGGTCATTGATGAAGATGTTGAACAAGACCGGACCCAGCACAGACCCCTGAGGAACACCGCTGGTTACAGGCCTCCAACTGGACTCTGCACCACCAACAACAACCCTCTGTGCTCTGTCAGTCAGCCAGTTCTCAACCCACCTCACTGTCCACTCATCTATCCCACACTTCCTCAGCTTTGTTATAAGGATGTCGTGGGGGACAGTATCAAATGCCTTGCTGAAATCAAGGTAGACTACATACACTGCTCTCCCCCTATCCATCCAGCCAGAGACAACATCATAGAAGGCTACCAGGTTGGTCAAGCACGACCTCCCCCTTGTGAACCCGTGCTGACTACTCCTGATAACCTCCTCTTCTTCCAGTTGTCTGGAGATGACATCCAATACAAGCTGTTCCATCACCTTTCCAGGGACAGAGGTGAGGCTGACTGGCCTATAATTGCCTGAATCTTCCTTCTTGCCTATTTTGAAGACCGGGGTGACGTTGGCTATCTTCCAGTCTTCAGGCACCTCCCCCGTCCTCCAAGACTTCTCAAAGATGACAGAAAGCAGTTCAGCAATCACCTCTGCCAGCTCCCTCAGCACCCGTGGATGAATCCCATCGGGTCCCATGGATTTGTGAACATTGGTGTTGCCTAGGCGCTCCTGGACCACCTCTTCCCTGACAGAAGGGAGGTCTTCCATTCCCCAGATCCTCTCACTAACCTCCAGGGTCTCAGATTCCCGAGGGGGAGCTTTTTCACTGAAAACAGAAGCAAAGAAGGCATTCAGTATCTCCGCATTCTCAGCATCCCCCGTTACCAGAACACCCCCGTCACTTAGCAGGGGAGCCACATTCTCCCTAGTCTTCCTTTTACTGTTAATGTACTTGAAAAAACCTTTTTTATTATCCTTTATCCCCTTTGCCAGATTTAATTCCAGACAGGCTTTAGCCTTCCTTGTCGCATCCCTGCAGACCCTGACAACATTCCTGTATTCTTCCCAAGTAGTCAGACCCTTTTTCCACATTTCATGGGCCTTCTTCTTTCCTTTGAGTTTGTGCACGAGCTCCTTGCTCGTCCACACAGGTCTCCTGCCACCCTTTCCCGATTTCTTCCTCACAGGGATGCACCGATCCTGAGCTTGGAAGAAGAGCTGCTTAAATGCTGACCAGCTCTCACAGGCCCCCTTGCCTTCAAACACCCTAGCCCATGAGACAGCTCCAAGTAGGCCCCGGAAGAGATCGAAGTTCGCTCTCCTAAAGTCCAGGATAGCAATCCTACTTTTTGCTTTACTTCTTCCACTCAGGATCTTGAACTCCACCATCTCGTGGTCACTACAACCCAAGCTGCCCCCGACCTTTACTTCCCTGACAAGCCCTTCTCTATTAGTGAGAATAAGGTCCAGCAGTACCCCTCTCCTCGTTGATTCCTCAACCACCTGCATCAGGAAGTTGTCTTCAACAGATTGCAGGAACCGTCTGGACCGCGCATGCCTGGCCACATTGCTTTTCCAGCAAATATCTGGATAATTGAAGTCCCCCATAAGCACCAGCGCCTGGGATCGTGACGCTGCTTCCAACTGTTTGTGGAAGGCCTCATCAACCTCCTCCTCCTGATCAGGGGGCCTGTAGCACACACCCACAATGGTGTCAGCCATACCAGCCCGCCCCTTGATTCTTACCCACAAGCTCTCCACTGCTACACCACTCTCCCCCAGGTGGAGTTCAATACATTCAAGCTGCTCTCTTACATAAAGAGCAACTCCACCACCCCGCCTCGCCGGCCGATCTTTCCTAAAAAGCACATAGCCCTCCATGACAACATTACAGTCATGCGAGCTGTCCCACCACGTCTCTGTGATCGCAATGAGATCACAGCCATGTGACCGCACGCAGATCTCCAACTCTTCCTGTTTATTTCCCATACTGCGCGCATTAGTATATAGACACTTCAGGGAGGCAGCATTTCCCTGCCACACTCCATCCCTTTGAACTCCACCCTCATCACCCATCAAGTTCACTTTTGAACCTTGAACTACCTGAACCTCAGCAGTCCTCATTTTGTCCCCTTCCTCCTTCTTACCTAGTTTAAAGACCTTTCAATGAGGCCTGCCAGCTCCTGGGCTAGGATCCTTTTACCCCTTGTAGACAGTTGAGCTCCATCTGCAGCCGTCATGCCAGGAGCTGAGTAAGTTGCCCCATGGTCAAAAAAACCAAAGTTCTTCTGCCTGCACCATTCTCTAAGCCATTTATTGATGAGGAGGGCTTTTTTGATCCTCTCAGAGTCCTTCCCCGCCACTGAAGGGATAGAAGAGAAGACCACTTGCATTCCTGCACCATCCAGTACCCTCCCCAGATGCTTGAAGTCATTTTTGATTGCCCTTAGGCTTCTCTTGGCAGTATCATCACTGCCAACCTGAACTACCAATAAGGGCTAGTAGTCAGACGGGCGAATAAGCCCAGGCAGCTTTATAGAGATGTCCCTGACCCGTGCCCCAGGAAGGCAGCACACTTCCCTCCGGGTGGGGTCAGGACGACATATCGGGCCCTCAGTTCCTTTTAGAAGGGAGTCTCCTACAACTATCACCCTCCTTTCTTTACCAGAAGAGGCGGTCTTCAAGCGTGGAGCCGACCGCTTCTCCTTAGCAAAGCTCAGAGGCTGTTCCACCACCTTGTTCTCAGCCTCCTCACCCTCCAGTTCCAGGGTTTCAAACCTATTACTTAGGGGCACCTGAGGAACCGAGGTAGGTTGGGGAGGGCGCCGCCTGCGTCGCTGGGGTGGGACCTGCTGCCATTCCTCTTCTCCTCCCAAGTCAGCTCTCTCGGTTTTACTACGGTAAGGCAGAGAATCCACTACAGGCTGGGGGCTGCAATCTCTGCTTGTTTCTTGCTGAGAGTTAAACCACCAGTCCATCTCCCTCTAGCAGTCCCTAATGGATCTTAACCGCTCCACCTCCTCCCTAAGCTCTACCACAAGGCTGAGCAGCTCATCCAACTGTTCACACCTCATGCAGGTGGCATCCCTCCCATTGTCCCCCCACAGCAGCAGACTCAGGCACTCCCTGCAGCCAGAGACTTGAACCACTGCAGTTCTGGGCAGTCCCTCTGTCTGGGTCGCCACAGACTTGTTGGAACATGCCCGACGCCTGGTAGAGACCATGTTTGAACTTACAGTCACCTTGTCAGCGAGTGGGAGAGCAGTCACCTGCCCTGAAGCTGGTCTCCGCAGCAAATTTTTTGGCTTCTGGTGCAATGACACAACTTTGAATACTTTTCAGAGTGTATAGTCTTGAAAAACATGTGCTGTAGATTGGAATAAAAGTGGATGTATATATTTCTGTAAAGTTCTAGAGATCTAAATTGGAAATGGAGGAAAGCCCTCTGCAGAGACTGTCATCTTGTCAATTAGTACAGCTTTTTTTTTTTTTTTAATATCACATTTCATAAAAGCTTTGTGTGAGCAGCCCTAGACTTCAGCAGTGATCTGGTGTAGGTCCTGGGTTCTGAAAGCACTGCACAGAGACTTTTTTGCCTAACTCAAGATCCTGCATTCAATTTTATTTCAAGTAACAAAAGGAGTGTAGCAAATCGTCTTTGGTGTTTTTTGTTTTTTGTTTTTTTTTTTTTTCCTCTGTATCTCCAGTTCGCATGAGACATTTATAACATAACTGTCTGCTCAATGCAGGAAAGAAAAGAACACTTGCTAAATAATGCAATATTGGAACTCAGATCCATAAAGAGTTCTGATTTTCAAAGTAGGTATAATTAAGCTGCAGAGAACTGTAGAAGTTAGTACACTGCATGCTCTGGCTCAGTAAGAAAACTTAATGTCTTTGACACTAAATCCTTTCTGGTAGCTTAAGTCTTAGGTATAGCTCTGCAAAGGGTAGTCAGTTTCATGTAAGCAATTCAATTATCTTACAAAAGCATTCCTCTTTGAATGTTTCTGAGGTTAAAAATGCTTATCTGACTTGTGTGCTTTAACATAGTCAGACTCTCACTCTGAAGGCTTTCTACCATAATCCTCTCTTTCCAGGTAAGACCTCATAGGCCCTTGCCTACTTATTACTGTGATTTTAAAAATCAGATTCAAATTAGATGGGTAGACTTCAGTGGCCTTGCTCTCATATCATAAAGCTTAATAAATTCTATAGCCTGATTTATCTATCTGGTTTCAAGAACACACACTCAAAAGCAAAATGACTAAGTCCCATGGTTTTATCCCTCATCTTCCTTTGCTTACTTTCAGTGTTTACTTCTGGTCCTATCTTCTGCCTGGAGAATATTATTTATGCTGCTGTTAGGCCTGTTTCACTTTACTTCATGATTGCAGCTCCATCCTCTTACTCAGTTTTCAACCTCTGCTTTCTACTTTTTTCTGCAAAAAAAATGTTTCATCCTTACTGAGCCAATTCATCCCTTGCTCTCATGTTAGATTGTATGCTAGGACAGCACAATGCAAGCTAACAACTTGCTGTTCAGTCATTTCTCTTGTTCAACAAAGCAGGAAAACAGAGATATTTTTAGATCCCTAAAATGCTTCTATTCAGTGCAAACTTCTGGGAAATACCCCAGTATAAAAACTCTAGTGTATGCATATATAATTATATACCTTAGAAAACAACAGGAATTATATAAATATTTATTTTGGTTCTACAAGCAGAAAAAAATATGCCACAGAATCCATAATGAGAGTACTGTTTAGAAAAGTGCAGT